CTAGTATCTTGGACACACAGAACAATATGTAAAGTAATAGCAAAAACAAACAGCTTAGGAAAAGTAAAGCAAGGTATCTTAGTAATTCTTGAAAAGGATTTACAACCTATATAAAAATGAATCATAAACCCATTGGCAAATAGATCCAAGCCCTTTTGGGAACATATTTAGTTTATATATAGGAACTAAAACGCAGGGTAAGAGGAAGGATCAACAATGAGAGAAGGAGGGAGGCACACACACACACACACACACACAGAGACAGAGAGATTGATTCAAATTCACATTACTCAGAACTCATAATACCTTGTTAAATGATTACCCTAATAGTTTAGTTAAAAACAGTTATTTTATATCCTCAGCACCTATGCTGACTTTTCAGGGACAAGACTTGCAATAATCCTCTCAGAATTTTTTGGGTTGTACCTTGTGGAAATGTTGGCAAAGCTCCTGTTAATATTCTACTCTATGCCCACAAGAGAGTCAAATTGTGTCTATCAAGAGGGGATAAAAGTATCTAATCAAATCTTTGCTGCACACTAGTTTGGTAGTCTTAAACAAGTTCCTTTTGTTCATCTTTTCATGTATTGAATTAACCAGTAGGTATTTGTAGATTTGCTATCAGATTTAAAACACTTTATTTCACACACTGGTCAATGTGAACATGAGAAAGCATGACACTTGTGCTCAATCAAGTAACTTACCTTCTAGCATACTTGAATTCCAAAGAAAACAGGGCATAGAGGCTTAAATCTGTGTCTGGCATCCAAAGGGTCCTTTAATAAACATGTCTAATGAATAGAAGTAAACCTAGAAAACACATTAAGCAAGAAATAAGAAAATATGCACACATATATACATATTTAATATGTTCATATATATCCATTCATATATATCCATTCTAACTTTACTCTCTTTGTATTGAAACATATCTATAGATGATCGCATACATATTGTTGTGTAACTGAGGGCCAGTGCTATGGTACAGTGAATTAGGCTATGCCTACGATGCCAGCATACCATATAAGTACTAGTTTGAGTCCCAGCTTCTTGCTAATATGCCTGGGAAAGCAGCAGAAGGTGGCCCAGGTACTAATGTCCCTGTACTCATGTAGGAGACTTGGATGGAGTTTTGGGATTCTCTGGCTTTGGCCTGGCACAATTCCCACTGCTGTGGCTGTTTGGGGAATAAACCAGTAGATGGAAGATTTCTCTATCTCTGTAACTGTGCCTTTCTAATAAATAATCTTTTTTTAAAAAAGAAAAAAGTATACACAGTGGGAATTACTTAGTTCTGACATTAATTAATGTTTCCTTTTGAACTAAACATTATAGTTTTCCAAAAAAATTCTTAGAATAAGCAGAATATGAAAAAAATCTTTCTCTTTTTGTCAACTGCTTTATTTAAATGTTTTGCGGGTCAGTTTTCCCATATGTATGCACATTTTATTTAATTACACAAGTATTTCATTTTTGTTTTACATACGTAGGGTACACATATGTGCATATGCAAGAATATACATATACATGTATGCATGTGTATATTCAAATGATTATGTGTATATACAGTTGAGCATCCCAAATGCAAAATACCCTGAAGTCTGAAACTTTTTGGATACTGCTATTTTGCTCAAAACATTTTGGATTTTGGAGGATTTCAGATTTCCAGATGAAGGATGCTTAATCAGTAAAGACTATACAAGTATTCCAAAATCCAATAAATTCTGAAATCTGAAACACTTGTGACCCCAAGGATCAATGGTAAGAGTTATTTAATTTGTGCATTAATGTGCTTTTGATGACTTTCTTATCAGTAGGACCTGAATAGTAGTAATTGTATATCAATCACATCATGGGATGGTAGGTACATTTATTCAGTCTTTTCTCCACTTATGAGTTTTCAGATTATTTCCACTTTTTATTAACCAGTTTAAAAACTATTGTCTAATACGTGCATTTGTGGACTGATATTTCTAAAGGACAGAATCTCTGAGGAATAATTACTCAGATAGAAGAGTCTGCTTAATTTTGGTAAATCTAGGCAGTTTTTCTTCCAAAATGTTTGGTAATCCATATTTCCCCAGCAGTGGATAAGAGGGCACCTACCCAACATCTAAGGCAGCAGCACCATGTTCCGACCCAGCATGAATGTTCCAGGAACCTCTTCCCCTCTCAGTTATACATGGGTGCCTCAGCCTAGATTCAAGCTCTCCATAGCATGAATTCAACTTAGCATTTGGATGTTATTACTGTTCTGGCTTACAGAAACCCTTCGCTTTAGCCAAAGTAGATGAGTTGTTTATGAAAGCAAATGTGTCTTTTCTGACTGCTTCACCTTTGTTCAAGGCTATTCTTTTGTATCTGTTTGGATTTTTTTTCCATTCTGTCGCCTTTCGCCTTTTGCTAAATATCTCCATGTTCTTCAAACTCTGTGTTCCCCTTCAGTTTTCCTGAGACTCTCAACTAACTGTGCTGCTCTCCACCTTTCATCAGCTTCTGTTTTGTGGTGCTTTTGTATAATACATTGTGTCATATACAGTTTTTTATATACCTACTTATTGCCCATATTCAATGGTAACAACTCTGAAGATGATCTGTCTTTTCATATTTTTCATATTTACATTTAATTTTTTAAACTAATTGGCTTAAGAAATCAATGAAAGAAATATCACAATTTATACTCAGCAAATGAAGGAAAAAAGTCACAGAAAGTATTAAAAATAATGAGTGTATTTCACACCTGAGATCCTGGGAGTGTGAATTTTCTTTTCTCCAAAGATCAGGAACAATGGAGAACACAGTTAGGAGATGAAAATAATATGGTATGGCAGAATGCATTCTTGGCACCATGAGAGCACCCAGGGGGCAGTGTACACCCGGAGGTGGCTGCATGCAATGCAGATGTTACAAAGTTGGAACTTGGAATACAGATATAGACTTTCTCAATTTATTTCATATGCTTTGATTTTGAGACTGGAGTGGAATAACACATGGTAACAAATTAGAGAAATGATGATTTCTGATACGTAAACACTGTCCAAAGTGAAACTGACTGGCAAAATGGCCAAAAGCTTTCAACCTCCAGTTATTCATTATGGGGATCACAGATCTTCAAAGTCTTATTTCCATAAGTTAGGCAGGTTGGTGATGGCCCCAGTTCTGGTATTATTGTTTTTTGTTTGGTTTTGGTGAATATTATCTTTGGTCTTCTCCAGGGCTGGTTGATATTTGGCAACTGTCCTGTGCCTATATAGCCATTGTAGTTTTCTAGATATTGAAGTCCTCTCCTTTGAGGTTTGAGCATTAGGGCTCAGTGTTCCACTTATGTTCCCTTGCTATTACCCTGGCAGCTTCACCCTTCTCTCAGAACCACTCTGCCCTCACATTTCCATCTCTGTTCTCACACCTGAAACTTCTTCAAGATAGTGTAACAAAGTGTTAAAACCTAACCAGGTAGGATCTTCCATGACCCTGTTGTAGCTGTGGGTCCGGTAGGGTCTATACACAACTGAACTAAACCTAGATGATCAGTCCCAGTATCTTTTTTTTAAGATTTATTTTATTTTTTTGATAGAGTTTCAGAGTGAGATGGGAGTCAGAGAGCGAGAGGTCTTTCATTTGCTGGTTCACTCCCCAAATGGCTGCAGTGGCTAGGGTTGGGCTAGTCCAAAACTAGGAGCCAGGAACTTCATCTGAGTCTCCCATGTGGATGCAGGATCCCAAGCACTTGGGCCATCCTCTGCTGCTTTCCCAGGTGCATTAGCAGGGGGTTGGATCAGAAGTGGAGCAGTCAGTACTGGAACCAGTGCCCATAGGGGATGCCAGTGCTGAAGTTGTGCCTTAACCTGCTTAATCCACAATGCTGGCCTCAGCCCTGGCATCTTTGAATCCATACAAATCATGCTTCAGTCTCCTCCTCCTTTGTTATTTGAACAAGGAATGACTCACTTGGCCATCTGAACATGAACCTCCTTAACTAGAGAGGAACATTTAAGTTTGACTATGTGGCTATTTAACCAGAACCGCAAAAAACAGTGATGTTGTTGAATAACAGATTCACTGGGAATATGGTGAAGAAAGTTTGTCTCAGAGTACAAGTACTTGCAAATTGTTTTTGTTTCAATGTTTGCATTTAAACATAACAAAGGAGGAGGGGTGAAGTTCAGCTTAGTTGTTAAACTGCATGTTGGGATTGCCTTCATCCCTTATCAGAGTGCCTTCAGTGGAGTCCTGGCTCTGCCCTTGATTTCAGCTTCCTGCTAATGCACACCCTGGAAGGCAGCAGTGAGGCTCAAGTAACTGAGTCCTGGTACCCAAGCACTATCCCACAAAACATTAAGTTCCCAACCCCTGGCTTCAGCCCTGCCCAGCTCTGACCATTGAAAGCAACTGAAGAATGAACCAGCAAATGAAAGATTTTCATCTGTTTCTGTCTTTGTGTGTGTGTCTGCCTTTCAGATAGATATAGATAGATAGATAGTTTTTTTTTTATATTTGCAAAATAAAATCAAAGGGGGATGTGTGGCAGATATTTGGACTGGAAGTTAAGATGCCAGTTAGGAAGCTTTTGTCCCACATTGCAGTAGCTAGGTTTGAATCTTGGCACTGCTCCCTATTCCAGCTTCTTGCAAATGTGGACCCTGGGAGATAGCTGTGATGACTCAAGTAGTTGGGATCCTACCACACAGGTGAGAGACCTGAATCAAATTCTGGGCTCCTGTCTTGTCTCTCAACCATTGTGAGAATTTAGGGAGCTCACTGTCTATCTGTCCCTCTCTGTTTCTTTCTCTCTACCTCTTAAAGAAATAAATAAAAAGGCTACTTAATGTAACGGGTCAATTGGCAAAGCAAACCCATTTGTGGATTTAAATCTGATTTGTGTTAAAAGAATACGTTGATTTTTTTTTTTAGCAAAACACTGAGGGATGCTCTATGCTTCTGCCATTGCTGGTGATATTTAACCCACCTATTCTTCCTAATAAAAAAGCAAAGAAATAAAAAACTATTGAACTTTATTTATTGACTTCCTTGTGAGTATAGTTAATGTTGACATAGATCAATCACAGTAAGTTCAAATGAATGATATAGTATAGCACAAACTAGGGAAGCAAGTGAAATTGTAATTAGGAGAACATTAACAGTTGGATAGGAATAAGATTTTCCAGATACTCAGGGATGGTGTTAGTGGAGGTGACCAACTTCTTGCCATCTCCATTCATTCTTCAGCAAAGTTCCAGTCTTCCTATGGGAGCAGAGAAAAATGGAGAGGAAAAGGAAGTTGAATAGATATTTCTCAAGTTTCTTAGTATATCTATGTCTCATCTTGTTCTCTGTTAGAATTTCTAAGTGGGATTAATATCTTATAATGCTCTGAGAGAGGAAGTGAGATACAACAGAGGAGGTGATGCAGCCTAGAAATAGCAGAATATCATACTTGAGCTTGCAAGGAAACTATCATAGCTTCTTTTTCACACATCCCCCCAATTACCATGTCAGTAGATTCATTTTCTCACCCTTCGTTCTACTCCCATCACTTCTTGGTGTTTCTTACTGGTCAAGAGAAAAAAATGTAGGAACAAAGAATGTTACCTACAGAAGAGTTTTCATGTCTTCTTTTTGGAGTTTATCTGGGCCAAACTACTCAGAGTAAAGTCATCTGACTAATAACAGTTGTCTCTGTCTCCTATGCAAACACAGATGGTGTTAGTGACTTCAATTAACAGGGAATATGCCAAGTCTTATCTTTCTGACAATGGCGATGTCTTTGCCTTGTGTCATCCACATATTCCCTCTCAGTACCTCTGTAGCCAATATCAAATCTCAGCTGAAATTAAGCAGTTGGTGGAAAATAGTAGCTAGAGATTAGCTAAGGGGCTTGGATAGGTCAAAACCTACAACCTACATACCTTTATCTCATGAGGCTGCTGTTGTGGAGTTCCCAAGCATGTTGATCCTCTCATGGATGCCTAGTCCAGTGACTAAAGTCCTTATGGCTACTAATATGAGCTTTGTGTACAGGTAAATTGGAATTGAAGTATTTATAGCCTCAGGGGAGATTTATGTATCTTTTGTTGCTGTTACATAAATTACTGCCATATATGTATATCTTTTGTATTTGATTTTAATCCTAAAGAACCTAGATTTTAAAGTCAGTAACATAGAACTTGAGAAAAGTGTGTGGCCCCACTTTATATTATATTCTTATGAGATATAAAGCAAAAAAAAATTTTTGGCTGCTGACTAAAAGCATATTTTCTGTCCTATGCATGGACTTTTCTCTTCCCCAGCCTCTCCACTAAAACCAGAGCTGACAGAAACCGTCTGTGAAAAAAATAGGGCTGCTTCTCAGGGGATAAATGTTTCTTTGATTTCCTTTTCTTTTTCAATTGGTAACCATTAATTTTAAACTTTCTTGGTATTTTCTAGGCAATAAGAAGAGAGAAGGGAGGGGCCTTCAGGGAGGAATTCAGGCTCTTTCTGCAAAGTGTTCACAACTGGTTGTCTGTTTTGAAACGCAGCCTGCCTGCATACAAAGAGATCACCACTATCTTTCACATTCAAAGACAATTGACAGTTGGTCCAAATGCAGGAAATAAGGGTCACAGCAATTTCCATAAGGGGCAGAGTTAATGTGATTCTGGCCACTCCTAATGCTGCATGAAAATACCAAGTTTTGTGCAAAAATCAGCTTAGAGTGCACACCTATATCACCAGGAAAAAAGAGCCCCCAATCTCTTTTGGGAGACCTAGAAATCTAGGATGCCTAACTCATTTTTAGTGGATGTTGGCTTCAAGTTTCTCATTGTCATCCACTTAAAAGGTTTACTGTGAAGCTTGCAGCACCACTTCTGGGCTATGAGTTAGAGTAGGGAGAATGTTTGGAGGAAGAAAATTATTTCTTTGGAAATAAAATGTTTTAGATAAATTATTTTGGAAAAATCTTTATTTTGGTGAAAAGCAACTCTTGTACAGTTTGAAGACATTTGGAGATTTCTGCCTCAGGTGAAAATAATAGAACATCGTAGCGCTCTTTTGCTTGGTGCAATGTTATGTTGCTTTATATTCCCTTCTTTGATTGAGTGTACATGAGTCAGTTACTGTTTTGCATTCATCTAATGTTGATAAATAGGATTAAGTTCAGCTGCTAGTAGCAGGGAAAGATGGTAATCACTTATGTAGAAAAATACATGCTCATTTCTCTGTGGCATAAATTGTGATAGTTCTTTCCACCATGGTCCTTCCAGCTTACTACTCCCCAGCCTTTGACTAGAGTCTTCTGAGGTAGTAGTGATGCAGACTGCAAGACAGAGGAAAAGAAAGGCAGAAGAGAGTGAAGAAGTCACCTGTCCCTCTTTATCTCTTGATAGAAAGATGTGGACACCCCTTGCTGCTAGGAAATTATGAAATTTAATCTTAACTCTGTGGCATCCTGGTTAAAGATTCCATTACTTTGGAAAAATAGGATAACGGATATTGGGGCTACTACTAGCATTCTCTCACAAGCCATTTTCCTGACTGAGACACATAAACACAGCTGAGGGGGTATGGAGTACTCCCACCCTTATTTTCAAAGGGATATTTTGGAAAACACAGTAGAATTGACAAACATACAGAAAATTAGTGGCATGAAATGCAAAGTAAGTCACTATTCTATTTGTTGTATGACAGTGTAAAACTTCTAAATGTAATCAAGAGGGAAAACACTAAACAACAACATAAAAACCTCACCAATTGTTTAGTATAATTCAGCCAGCGAGTTTTATTTTAATGTTGGATATTCTGTACCTCTGATCTAAATGCGTTGTTTATAACATGACGTGATATAACTATGTAATTTTAGACATAAATATTATACTCTACTTCAATAGTTCTGCATTTCAGTTGTGGTAATTTGTAGTTTTATTGATGGTAACTTGAATTATTTGAAAATTAGATCACCATTTTTGTTTCTCCCTTGTCATATTTTGTTGCCTATGTCTCTCAGGCTTTATTCATGCCATGTTATCCAGTTGTTTTTGCATTAATAAACAGATGCTTGTTCCATTAAGGATAAACTGGAGAAAGGTCATCTCTCCCATGATTAGGAGAAAAAGCCATGCAGTAGCCACAGGATGATCAGGACCATGGACAGCAGTACATAAATTCCCTGCCCTAACCTCACATTCCCACGAAGACTTTGTTTTATTTATAAATGTTCTAGTTCTGGGGCACTAGAGATTCAAATCAAAGAGTCTGGAAGGAGAGAACTCTGAGGATAATGTCTGGAGTGGTCCCTCCTTCTCTGTTTGCCACCCTCACTTACCCCACCACCACCACCACCACCACCACCATCACTCCCTCCACCAACCAGAGATGTTTCTGTCTTGAATTCTCTTTCAACCCTTAATCTCAAACATCTGCCTCTATTATCAGACCATCAAAACTATGAGAATATCAAGATGGTTTAACACAATTTTTCCAGACTATCTTTAATATTTTGACATCTTACTGGTTTTAGCTTTTTTTTATTTACTCCGACGAATGAGACATAATTAATTATTTAATGCATTGGAAGGATTAATTAAGAGGAATGCCTAGTCACTCAAGTCACTGGACCCTGCTGGTTGTCACTCTCTGACTCTTTTTTTCTCTTCACACTCATTTTTATATAGTGACATTACAGTCCAAGTCTTCTTTTGTAAATAATTAATTTAAACCCAGAAAAATCATGTAATGAGCTCAGTTATATGGACAATTAGTAACAGATTTGGAAATGAATTCATTCGCTATTTACTGGCTCCAGACCCACTGCCACTCTAATCTACTCAAACACATCACTTATTTGGGATATAACATTAATCAGATACAACATGACCTAAAACATACACTTAGTGGCCACCCTGAAAACTATATAGCTCAACTACTTCTTAAACACATCATTGCTTTTAGTCTGTTCTCTTGCTCTTACATTTCCTGATCTTCTTTTGGAAGTTGCTTTTGAATACCACATTCTGACTGTTCTGAATGAGCAGTCTATCTTATCTGCTTGGACTTAGCAGCTGGATGCTTATGAACCATGAACCAAATACACTTTGGGAATGGGAGGTCTCATTCTGGTGTTCTGAGCCAGAGAGTAAATTTAAGTCTCTTTCCAGGACTCTCTAGTTGAATGCTTGCCTTGGCTAATGGTGATCTGTAGCCATGTGTGACTCTGTATGATCATCTCTACTCTAAAACTGACCTGACAGAAGCTTCTTGTGAAAATTGCAACTTGGAAAATTCCAAAGTGGAAGACTGAGAAGACTCTGGTGTATACATGATTTCAAAAATAAAATTTAAGAGCATTTAAAACATGACAGAGTGATTTTCCTTTTTAAAAAAATTCAATACAATGAGCTGAGTGTGTGATTTCTTTTCATGTTTAATTCTTATTTTTGTTGTTTGTCTCTTCTCTCACAGAGGGCCATATCTAACCACATCCACCCAGTCTTCCTAAGAACGCTGAGTTGTCATGCAGGAGCTTTACCTCACACTGGGGAGATATTAGTTGATAAGATCTACCTTGTTCAGATTTATTGCTTTAGCATATTTCATGCTAAAAATATTTTTCTACCATCTGCTAAGATTAGCACTCTAGTGGTATAATAAATTTACTCACCCTGTTTCTATGATGTAGTTTGGAACCAACTTTACACTTTATTCGGCCTAATTGAAAATAGGATAAGATAAATGATGCACTTTGAATTTCTCTCTCAGACATACCATTGTTCATTACTTCAACAGAGGATGAGCACATCTGATTGTAATTTTAGTGTTTCAGTAAAACAAAAGTTCCCATGGCAAAAATATGGCTCAAGCCATTATCATCATCCTGTAGAGTCTTGTAAAAATATTTAATATTGTTGTACCCTCAAATGAAATGTTGTTTTTCATTTAAATATAAAACTTGGGGGTCACCTTTCCAAAACATTCTATGAAGAGAAATTCTTTTCAGTGGAAATACAGGACCTCATATTTGCTTACATCTGAGGCTCCAATTGAAGGTCAAATTGAGAATTTGATGATTTGCAGCTTATTGGGAAATTTGGATTTGCTCCTCTTATTCAGTCTTCTACTTGGGTTTGAGTTGTTTTGACAATGTTAAAAGAGAAGGAAAGATATGCAAGGTGTTTATTACATGTTAGATTGTTATAGTTTCAAAGTGTTGTATTGTTCCTTCCAAATTTGGTATTAGACTTGATCATAAGAGTTGCTTTGGCCAAGAAGATGCAAATAAATGAGTTAAAGTAGATTTGCAAAAGCATTTGCATATTGAGATTTGGAGAAAAATTTTTATATTAAGAAGCTAGGATAACCTGCTAGAGACAGGTGGCCCAGGTGACAGACTTGGCACCAACTTCTAGACATGAGAAAGAGGCCTGATCACCCACTCCTTATTGAGTCATCAGGTAAATTTAGCTTCATGAGTAACCCCTGGTAAGAGTATTGGAAAAATTGTTCAGTGAATGATGAATAAATGAAGTATTTCTTATATAGTTATTACTTTAAATTTTAAAAATTTATGCTAAAATACACATAATTTTTTATTTTAATTCAGAGAGTTGCTCTTAAAAAGACTTATTTATTTGAAAGACAGAGCAGTAGAGAGAGAGGAATGAAGAAGGGAAGGAAGGAGGGGAAAAGAGCAAGAGTGAGAGTGAGAGAGTGAGAGTGAGAGAGATGTCTTTTTTTTTATTTAATGAGCATAAATTTCCAAAGTACAGCTTATGGATTACAATAGCTTCCTCCCCTCCCCCCGATAACTTCCCTCCCACCCACAATGCTCCCCTCTCCCACTCCCTCTCCCCTTCCCTTCACATCAAGATTAATTTTCAATTATCTTTATATACAGAAGATCAATTTAGCATATATTAAGTAAAGATTGCCACATTTTGCTCCCTCACAGAAACAAAGTGTAAAATACTATTTGAGTACTAGTTATAGCATTAATTAAACACCTAAGAGTAATTGTGTATTAATTACAGAGTTCAACCAATAGTTTTAAGAAATGCAACTTTTATATTGTTGTGGCTTCTCCCCCCAACCTCCCTCCATCCCGTGGCCCTCCTCTCTCCCTCTCCCTCTCCCATCCCGCCCTTCATCACATTTCATTTTCAATTACCTTCATATACTGATGATCAACTTAGTATATACTAAGCAGGGATTTCAACAGGCTGCACTCACACAACCGAACCAGGTATAGGGTATTGTTCGTCTAGTAGTGTTGCTTTTGAGTTTCATAGTTAAACACATCAAGGACAGAGATCCTGCATGGGGAGCATGAACCCAGTGACTCCCTTTGTTGATTTAACAATTGGCACTCTTATTTATGATGTCAGCAATCACCCGAGACTCTTGCTATGAGCTGTCTAGGCTCTGAATTTGTTTAGTCAAGGCCGTATCACAGTGGAGGTTCCTTCCTCCCTTCAGAGAAAGGCGCCTCTCTCCTTGATGGCCTGATCCTTCTGCTAGGGTCTTGTTCACCAGGATCTTTCAGTTAAATTGTTTTTTGCCACCGTGTCATGGCTTTCTATGCCTGTGAGACTAGAGAGATGTCTTTCATCCACTGGTTTACTTCCTGAATGGCTACTACAGCTGTAAGATCTAGACAGTGCCAAAGCCAGGAGCCAGGAATGCCATCCACACCTCCCACCTGTGTGGTGGGGGCCCAAGTTCTTGAGCCATCCTCTACTGCTTTCCCAGTCATGTTAGCAGAAAACTGGATTGGAAGTGGATCCAGCACTCCAACATGGGATATTGAAGTGTTAAAGATAATGGCTTAACATGCTACGCTACAACTCCCCAAGTTCAGAGTTCTCGAGTGGCTTGTCATGTAGTAATAAATATCTGATAGAATACATAAAAACCTTCTCTACTGGCGACAAACACAGAACTTTGTGATCAGGATCAAGAATAATGGAGACGGTGCCGCAGGCGGAGGATTAGCCTAGTGAGCCACGGCGTTCTAGTCCCGGTCAGGGCGCCGGATTCTGTTCTGGTTGCCCCTCTTCCTGTCCAGCTCTCTGCTGTGGCCCGGGAGTGCAGTGGAGGATGGCCCAAGTGCCTGGGCCCTGCACCCGCATGGGAGACCAGGAGAAGCACCTGGCTCCTGGCTTCGGATCAGCATGGTGCACCGGCCGCAGCGGCCATTGCTGGGTGAACCAACGGTAAAGGAAGACCTTTCTCACTGTCTCTCTCTCTTACTGTCCACTCTGCCTGTCAAAAAAAAAAAAAAGAATAATGGAGACATTAAAACCCAGATAGGGTTGCAGTTATGGCTGGGTGGTGACTGAGAAATGTATTTTAAGATCAATATAAGAAAATAATGGGACACAAACATATTGAATATTATTATTTTTAAGCATTATGTGCCTCAGTTTCCTCTTCTATAAAATGGGGATGATAATAGTAATATCTAAGGAGTACTAACAAATCTACGCAAAGCACTCAAAACAAAGCTTGGTATGGAGAAATTCTGCAATAAATATAAAATGTTCTCATCCTGTGTGCATAAAATATTAACATATTGCTGGCCAGCTTGAGGAGCAGTCTCCGTGCAACCATGATATTAGTGGTTTCTGAAGTTAAGACACAATAAACAGATGATTAGATCTTGTGGTTCTAGCTTTTAGTTCATAGGTAATGGACATATTATGGTGCAGCTGCAGAACATGGTAACAGGCTGGCTGCTGAGCCCTTTCCAAAGTCTTCTTTAAGAAGCTGAGCTTCAGATCATATTAAAACTGCAGTTAGAATAATGTTTCCCTTTTTTTTTCAAAAAAGTTTTTTTTTTAAATTTTATTTGAAAGGCAGAGAGAGAGGGAGAGAGAATGTGAATGTCTTCCTTCCTCTGATTCAATCCCCAAATGACCACAGTGACTCTGTCTGAGCCTCTATCCAAGTCTCCCAAGGGGGTAGCAGGGTCCCAAGTACTTGGTCATCTTCCACTTCTTTCCCAGCGCATTAGCAGGACAGCTGGATTGGAAATGGAGCAGCTGAGACTTGAAACAGTGCTCATTTGAGACGCCAGAATACAGGCAGTTGCCCCAAGAGTAACATTTTCAAAAGGAAGGACTTGTGCCTCAAATTACCAGTTCCATGCATTCTGATACTTTTAGATATCAGAAAAAAAAATAATGGGAGAAATACCACTGTCCAGTCTTACTTCTCATGCTTGGCCAACTTCTCAATGCAAAAAGAACTACCAGACAATTAAAATGTTACATAAAATTATTGAAAATAAGTAACATTTAGGCAATTAAACTTTTCTCTTTTTTTCTTTTTTTTTTTTTTTTTTTGACAGGCAGAGTGGACAGTGAGAGAGAGAGAGAGACAGAGAAAGGTCTTCCTTTGCCATTGGTTCACCCTCCAATGGCCGCTGCGGCCAGTGTGCTGCGGCCAGCGCACCACGCTGATCCGATGGCAGGAGCCAGGTACTTATCCTGGTCTCCCATGGGGTGCAGAGCCCAAGCACTTGGGCCATCCTCCACTGCACTCCCTGGCCACAGCAGAGGGCTGGCCTGGAAGAGGGGCAACCGGGACAGAATCTGGCGCCCTGACCGGGACTAGAACCCGGTGTGCCGGCGCCGCGGCTCACTAAACTTTTCTCTTAACACTGGCAGTCTGGTGACAAGGAGATAGCAGGAGTCCATACTTGAGGATGGGGTGCTGAACAGAGCATACTCAGTGCAAAAAGAAATTTCCCTCTATATTTCACTTGGAATAGTGTATTTTGTTGTCTGGAAGTGCAATTAGATTGTGATCTGAGTTTGACTCATGGATGTTTAGCCACGTTTAATGGAGGAAAATGTTGCCATGATTTTCTGGCCAGAATTGTGGCACTTTATTGACAGTCAGTTGTGCTTGGCAAATCAATTCCTCCTTCTCTTCTATCTTTCTTTCCTTTCTCCCTTTATTTGTGCCTTCAGTCTTTCCTCCTCCCTTCTCTTTTCCTGCCTTCTCTCTTTTTGTGTATGTGTTCACTACTGGGAGAGAAACAAGTTATTTGTTTATTAGAATACTATCATCTGCTGTACTGTTTTTACTTTCTCAATTGCTAAAAAGTGAAAGCAACATCTTTAGTCTTTTTGTGTCTCCTCTTCATTATATTTTCAATTTGGAAAACCTTCGTGGGAAGGTGATGGAAGACTGAATGCTGTTATCTATAAATTGGCACATTATGGTGGCCAAGAGACCAAGTTCAGTTTTGAAAATGCTGGATTCAGATCCATACAGAGTATCTTTCTAGGAGTCTAATCTTAGGCAGGTAATTAATTTCTTTTTTAGAAATGCCCACCTCAAAGGGTGGTTGAGATGATTACATGATCATCAGATAATCTGGTATGTGCAACATGAATGGTATGTCAATAATGCTCAGAAACAGGACGTTTTGTCATTTTGTTGAATTGGACATGCTGAACTATGTCGTGACATTTTATTCAACCACTCCTTCTGACCACTTGTCCTACAGTAGTATGACCAACTTGTGGAACACAGTTGACCATAGAGAGAATAAAGGCCATATTCTTGCACCTACTTGGACATTACTGACTTCTAAACTCAAACTTGTGGCCATAGATGCAACCACTGTAACATCCAGATCCCACTCATCAACAAGCCATAACTCTGCTTGTGTCCTGTAGCTGATTTAAAAGAGAAAGCAGATGAAATATTTAGAATTATCATGATTTGTTATAGTTAGGAAAGACCCTAGAGATGATTAGTCTAATTTGCTCATTTTTCAACTTTAGGCTATATATTATGGTAGCCACTAGCCACATGTGGCTAATGAGCACTTGGAAAATGGACAATTAGAATGGAAATGTGCCAAAATAGAAAATACACCATTTATTTCAAATTCTCAATATGAAAAAATAAGTGTAAAATATTATATTAATAACTTTTCATTGATTACATGTTCAAATGACAATATTTGGTATGTGTTAGATTAAATATAACAAAAATTAATTTTGCCATTTAGAACTTTTTAAATGTGGTTACTAAATCATTTAAACTTATGAATGGGTTCCCATTTGTGGCTCAGTTACATTTTTATTGGGCAGTATTATTTGAAAGAAAGCAAATTAGACATAGAGTTGTGAAGTGACTTGCACAGGAGAGCTCGGCTTTCGCCAGCAGAACACAAATGTGATTCAAGGTCCCCTTGTTCACAGTGCTTCTCTCAACATGCACCCTTCTGCTAAGGATTTTTTTTGAGATGACAGAATTGGGCTCTGATGATGTCTGGGTCCCCAAAAACTAGAGTATTTTTGGAAAACGTTACCAGCACCTCCTCTGTGACCAGCTGTGCTTTTTCTTTCTTTCCTTTTTTTTTTTTTTTTTTTGCACTGCCTAGGAGTCTGTGCTGCTGTTATCCATTTCTTGCGTCAGTTACAGAAATTGGTATTGTATCTAAAACAATTGCTGTTATTAACAGGTTAAGCTGCTGGGATGTTAAAATAAAGGCTGCCCAGCTTTAGTGCATTTTGTTGTAATCATCTCCCAGATGCCTTGTCGGAAATCAATTCAAGTTCAAAACTGGCTGGAATTGGGAGGTCAAGGCTTTGGCAGACTAAATATTTTATCTTCTGCTCATGTCTGGAGCTTTTAAAGATGTGGACTGGGGGCTCTTTTCTCATACCCCATCTGGACAAAGATGATTGGCTTTGCCATTTTGCCCAGGTTAGGACAAGGTTAAAATCAATTATAATCAATTATTAAGACTCTTCTTTGGCTGCTTGCTTAAAAAGGGATTTTAAAAGTTTCTCAGTTCTGAGACATGCATATCTTAGTTGCTGCTGAAGATGTTGTTATTCTAGAATGTCAAATGTAGATGTTATCATCACCAGGAGTAAATACACAGAATTTATCCTTTTTATTTCCTTGATACCTATGTTTCAGGACAATGAGAAAAGCCTAAAAAGGCCGAGATAATCATCATTGCTGCACCAAGTTGAAAAATCTTGTTAGCTTCTTCTATGTGTTAGACAATGAAAGCTATTTATAATTTAGTCTCACTGTCAAATTATTTCCCAGGAATTTATTGAGATACTTTTCTCCAGTTGTGTTCATTTGCAGTGCAAATGCACAAGTAACTGCTCAATCTAAGGTGGGTGAAAGAATCATAGATTTCTAATTCCATAGTAATTTTAAGACAAGTGAGATACAACCCTACGTTTTATGATAAGGAACTTGAGACTTGGAGAAATTAAATGACTTCCCATAATTTGTACAGCTATCCACAGGGAGAATTATATCTCCTAGTTCCTAAAAGCATGTGTTGTTCCTAAAACATCCAAATGAATCTTTTTATTTATACAATATTTTCATATGCTCATAATTTTCTTCACAATGATTTGAGAAGAAAACCTATTCATCCAAAATGAATATCATTCTGAACCTTGGACCAAGACATGAACTCAATAAACAGAATATAATTTTAAAGTGTTCTCAAAAGGTCACTTAGCTTTATCCTCCATCTCATATTCCACAAATGGAAATCCCTTGTATTTTCAGGTTTCCTCCAGATCCAGTAGCTGAGGGTTCAAAATGCTGCCAGAAAAATATTCCATTTTATTCATAATC